ATATATCTCAAATGAGATATATGAGATATATATATCTCATCTGTTCAGTTACGGTGATATAGCGAAGTTTACAGCCGCTGTTCGTGACACCTCTGCTCGTTCATAATTTATGACAATTAGGAGAAACTATAATTAGCATACCAGGTATCTCGCAAAATTTAGAGTTCATCATTTAGGCCTTCATGAAATTGTGTGACCAGGAGTGTATAATGGTAAAATTATTTATTACTAATACGATATATGCGTGCGTGTTAATACCTGCGGTTCCATAATATGCGCCTAGGCTTAGCCGATAGAGGGCGTCCTCGGAGGCGACAGCAAACTGGTCGTAGCCCGCATAGCGTGAGTTACCTTCAGCGTCTTCCATGTCTATACGCAGTTCCATCCGCTTAGACTGCGTTAGTTGGCTAATCTTATCATTACCTGCAAGGCGTTTACCAGAATTTTATTTTATGTAAAAAAGGGCGTGGATGTTAGGACGTTTTCGAAAAAGTAAACTATTGAAGTAAAAGTCCCGGTCTCTAGAAAAATGTATCGATCTCGTAAAAACTTAGTAGAATTCACAATACTAGTAAATTTTACAATTGAAACGGCATTTATAGGACTACTGGATCAATATCATTATTTTCCCTTACTGGGGTTTCTTTTACTAATATACAGGTGTGATTATAATTAATTAAAACGAATAATAAACAATTAGGCATTATTTCAGTTTAAAAAATGACAATCTCGGCCAAAATTATTTACCTAGCCAGAATTCGCCATTTAAACGACCGAATCCATTTCTGTACGCATCCCAGCCTCTGAAGAAGTCCACGGAACCATCCATGCGTACCTGCACGAAACGGGTTCGCTGAATAGTCCGAGATGACCCAGGAAACCACCCACCCTTGACTGGCATGCAGGGTTTGTCTGAGACCTTTCCCAGCTTACAGTTCATTACTCCGACTAGGTTACGAACTAATATTATAGTGATGCATACACATTGTACGACAATTATTATATAATAAGTATTAAAATTCCCTTTTATATAATCAACATATATAACAGAAACATATCATACATATAATTACATTAATGTAATATCACCACTCCACTAGCAGTGACATTTGAAGCATCAGGATAGGTTATGTAGGGCAGGGTAGGCATTTTATGTGCAACGAATTTTGCGGTTTTCGTACCTGGAAGACTGTCCAGCCGCCACCATCTGCGTCCAAATCGCAGTACACATCAAACGCTGTGTCGCTTAGCATCGGCTTAATTTTGTAGATGCCCGAGCGAGGGCTCGCATGGAAGCGCCCAACGTCAAAGCAGTCATGCGGATAGCCTACGTCGGATCAAGAATGAGTGACGTCATGATCATGAAGACTGGAATATCTCGCCATCAAACAACTGGCAATCACTAGTACTTAAAACGTCTGACCAGCAAATCTAGTCGGCGCCAACATGTTCTCATGATCAGTGCGAGATGCTAAAACGGCCGATTCTCCGTTCCATAACAAAACCCTTCCAGAAAATTTTCATATCTGCATTCATTGCTTATACAGAATGCATTAGGCGCGCAATAAGCGCCAACCTATACGTAGACGCACACGCACGCACAACGACCCATACGCCCCGTTCTTTGACATACAGGTACCTGTAAGCACCACAGTATAATGTATTTGTAATTCTTATTTAGTAGGTATACTCGTAATGTCGTACCAGTAACGTTCGGTTGTAAGCACATTTGCACGCCCAAACCGTGGATGAGGTTGTCCGACAGTTCCGCAATTAGGCTTTGCTTGCTAATCGATTTCACCTACAAGAAGGTAAAATACATGTGTCACTTTCGTGGACGTGTGTGGTCGTGGGAAAGCGCTTGCGTGCGTGCGTGCGTGCGTTCATGTGTGCGTATGTGCGTGCGTGCATGTGTGCGTACGTGCATAGGTGAACAGGCACGTTATCAGAAACAAAATTACTCCAAACATTAGTCTTAACATTAACTTGTTCTCATAGAACGGACGTCTTCACAGTGCGTGTGAGAAACTTGTAACTTTACTATACGTGTCTGTTAAAGGTCTATGAGAAAATGTTAACGCTGTGTTAGTTTTACGACTGCACAAAGCAGCAGCGTATGAAACCTGTTCGCTGGGCTACGTTATCGTGCGTGCGTGCGTCCGTCAGTGCTTATATGCGTGCTTGTGTTCATTTATATCTGACCATTGGCAATCCATTCATTGCCAGCAATGCTCAGTGTGTTCTACATTCCCGGTGCGCTGAAATCGGCAATGATGGTCGAGTTTTTCAGTTTATTGCCGCAACAAAGTATACGTCTGTTTTGCTACAATATAACTTACATTACGTTGAAATTGTTATTCCACGCAGGAGAAAATGAGAAAACAGAGAGTGGATAGCCAGCATGTGCGCGTGTAAACGTATAAAGAGAGAGAGAGAGAGAGAGAGAGAGAGAGAGAGAGAGAGAGAGAGAGAGAGAGAGAGAGAGAGAGAGAGAGAGAGAGAGAGAGAGAGCTGGAGCATGTGACTGTATATACGCTGGTTTTGTCGATTTGTCTTTGTTACAGGCGTCCCTACACTGGCTACACACATAATAAACAGCAAACACATTAAACATTAAGCATAGACGCAATCTATATACATATATTCAGCCACATAACAGCATATACCAGCTACCATGAATACTAACACGTATCCTCCCACTGATGAAACTGTGGTTAAGTTAAAATATCGAATATAGTTCTTACTTCAAGGATGTACCATCACACACAGGAATAGCGCTATTTTCGTTCCTTCATCATGTCATTCATATAAAATATTGATGTTAAAAATACTTGTGTGGCATTGTCGTAAGAGCGGTACATACAGATCAGCGCAATAATAAAATTTCTCGTGTGCCCAGCATGTTCACACTTCTCTCTTTTGGCTCTCACCCGCACTCACCACAAACATAGGATTTATCACATTCATATAAAAATCCACTCGATTATGAATCCATGTCGAAAACGTAAATATATTTCTTATACTAGATAAATTGCTAGACTGCAGTCTCTCAACAACAACGTAAACAGTCACAATAATAGGCTCTGTGGTGATCGGCTATTTTGATATACGTATTTGTTGACCGGCGAGTTTAGTTGGGATTTACGTAGCCGACAGGCCTCACTTTCATAACACTTCGTCTCAGCGAGTAGTAATAGTCCTTCCAGGCTCGCCAGTTGATGCCGTCGGCAAAGCTCTTGTGTGGTCCGAGAAGAAAGACGCCGTTCAAGTTCGAGTCGTGGCAGTTCTCGTACCACCAGGCGCCATGACACGTCACGGCACAGTTACCCGAGTACAGATCGTGGTCATTGTCTTTCGTAGTCCACGCCATGTTCCGATGTCTTGTCAATGAGTCACCTAACGATGTATGCATATATATATATAAGAGAGAGAGAGAAAGAGGTGAAAGAAGGTGGAGGAAAGCGAGCTAGCGGAGAGAGGGAGGAGGAGAAGATGTCGCGGAGGGAGGGAAGAGGGATGAGAATGAGGAGAAGACATAGTGAAGAGGGGGAGGAGAGCGAGGTAGGGGAGAGCGGGAGGAAGAGAGACGTAGATGGAGAGATGGTAACGTTAATCTGTACGCACCGCCATCTACTGATGAATAGATTTTTTATGATTTTTTAACTTTTTAACTTTTTAAAATTTTTGTTTCAGCCAGAACCACTTTCCAGATGTGCTGATTCTGAAAATATCTTTAGCTCTTCTCTAGGCTGCGGAGTTCTCTAGTTATGCGAGTACGAACTAATTCGGCTGAACAACTTTATATATACTAGCAGACTAATACCCGTACAACGACCAAATCGTGCCTTAAAATATAAACTTCATGTAAGTGACACAGTAGAAGTTAAATATTTTATGCAACTGAAAAGAAAACAGAAACAAAAAAACATTTTGGGAAGAAACAAAGAGCGCAATTCTATAAGTGAGCAGGGGAAAAAAGTGCTCAGTTAGTGACCACTTGGCTGAAATGAAAATACCGCAAAATCTATCTATCTATCTATCTATCTATCTATCTATCTATCTATCTATCTATGTATCTATCCATGCATGCATGCATGCATACATCCATCCATCCAGTCAGCCATCCCTCCATCCATCCATCCATCGCATGACATGCCATGCCCTGCCATGTCATGCCATCCCATCCCATCTCATCCTATCCCATGCCACCCCATGCCACCCATGCCATCCCATCCCATCCCATCCCATCGTCTTCTATCCCATCCCATCCCATTCCATCCTATGCCATCTCATGGGATCCGATCCGATTCCATCGCAGTCGACCCCATCCCATCCCATCCCATCCAATCCCAAACAATAAAAAATAATATAAAGAACATGAAAATAATAAAAAATAATAAAAGTAGTAAAAAAAAGTAATTTTTTCAATTTGTAACTTTCTAAAATTTTTTTAATGAATGTAGTAAAATTTATTTTCTACATTTTGAAATTAACGCTGAAGTGGCAGAAGTAGATACTAAAGAGTAAAAAAGTAAAGGAGAATTTTTTTTCCACAGCTGAGATTCGAACTCGGAATCTCGGGTTCTGAAAACGTGCTCATACTGACTACGCTACGGCGGCGGGAAAGACACGCGAGTAATTCTCACGTACGTGATAATAGAATTTTGACTTTTACAATTTTTTTTGACTTTTTAACTTTTTAAATTTTTGTCTTAGTCAGAACCATCTCCCAGACGTGGTGATTCTGAATATATCTTCAGTTACTGCGATTGAGTGACAAATGACGGAGAACATCGAGGTCAAACAAACACACACACACACACACAAGATTAGCCAAATTATAGTAGTTGGTAACGATGTGACGTGCACTCTACTGAGAAATATCGAATTGTAACAACTATATATAGGTAAGTGAATGCTGTCGGCACGCTTGGAGGCACGCACGCACGCACGCACGCGCGCACTGTTGCACCTACCCGCGCACGCTGGCACATTCACGCATGCCCGAACGCATGTAGGCACGCATGCAGGCACGCACGCACGCACGCACGCGCGCACCGTTGCACCTACCCGCACACGCTGGCACATTCACGCATGCCCGAACGCATGTAGGCACGCATGCAGGCACGCACGCACGCACGCACGAACGCACGCGCGCACATACAAACTCCAACACCCGCCGCGGGTACACGCACGCGCACATGCGTTTAAAGAAAGCATAGGGGACGCGCGCATATACGCACACTCTATAAGCAGATCATTGCAGCTGATTTTTTTGTCGTAAATGCAGAAGATGTTTGATAAGAATAGTCAGCAGTTGGGTCTACGTGACCGAGCCGGGGTCGCGGGATCGCAGGTAGACATGAGTTTATCGGGTGAGTCAACGTGAAATGACAGGTGCGATAATGCTATCATAACCTATGGCTGGATTTTTTAGTGCACACAAACTAAACTCATAAGAAATTTGGCAAGTAGAAAAATCCACGTACTGACTCCGTGATAAACAGCCTTTATATAGTATGAGAACTCGCAGTAACGCCATTTAAGGAGGAAGTTATTCAGAGAGAGAGAGAGAAATTTGGTGTATTCGGGTTAGAGGGTTAATAGATCTTACTTGGGACACTTATCGTCAAATATTATGTGCGTGTGTATGCGCGTGCGAGTGTGTGTGCGTGCATACGTGCGTGAGTGTATGTGCATGCGCGCGCACGAGACCATGTGCACGTGCATTCGCGTGCGCGTGCGTGCGTGTATGCGTGTGTATGTGTGTGCGAGTGCGGGCATGTGTGTATTTTATTAGATATCGCCATGCAATACAGGACGTATGAAAATCTATACCCGCACCCGCATATTAGTGCAGCTGATAAGCACATAAAAATTGACACATTGTGCACTTTTGGTTATAGAATTGTGAAACTTTGCACACGTGTACTACACGAGTTCTTCATAGCTTTCTATCGAGATTGCAGGAAACTCGGCACTTGAGCGATCTATTAAAACAGTCCTATATCCAACTCTTATGTCCTGTCGTTTATATTCAGTTGCACATGTAAGACCTTCTTATCTGGGTTTCTGGCTGATGAATGATGATACACAGGTCCCAGGTGCTAGACAACAGTGTCGCATTAATATTGATAAGTGATGGACAATAGACGAATGACTGATATGCAGATATAATGATTCAATATATAAATTGCATTCCCTACCTGTTACGATTGGTAATAAAACATGTAAACATTATTAAACATCGTAACTGCGATCCTGTTTACATAAGCTGTTTGCCTTCTACTTAGGCCATATTTTGACATATAGCATGTTTGTGCAGACTAAACAATATTGGATGTATCGGTCATTTAATATACTAGTGAAAACATTCATTATTTTTACCTGTTTCCTTGTTTCAACCTAGTTCTATTACAACTCAAAGATACATATATACACTCAATGAATTGGTGCTATAGTATTAAAGTTTATATATAAAATTAAAGTATATTTAAGTATAAAATTTAAGTTAAATAAGTATTTTAAGTTATGACCGAAAACCGAACGGTTTCTACCCAAAAAGCAATCCATGTGTTTACAGGCGCCTTACTATATAGAAAACGACTTCTTATATTGCAATTATTGCACAAACTCTATGACATTATTAAGTTATAGATATATCGTTCGATTTGTTAATTGTCAACAATCATACATCTCCCTATATATCTCTATACATACTCCTTAATGTTTAAACCATAAACGGTTACCTATAGAATAATATAATTCGTCCGATTAGGTGTTTTTATATAGCGCCCTAATTTTTTTTTTTAACATAAAATATCGCTATAGATATGTTACCTGGTTCTCCATGGCAGTCATTTTTGCCGACATGTGTTGGACTGAGGTCGCAAGATGCGAGAGTAACTGCAGAATTTCCTTCTCGTTTCTCAAGCCGTCAACCCCGTTGGCAAAGATGTCAGCAGCTGCAGCCGGCCTGCGGTTTTCCATCTTGCTGTTAGAATCCGCGCGGCTGTTTCTCTGCCGAGCGCGCGAATCTGTTCGTCTGTCATCACCGCCATTATAGTCGGCCGTGGACCCGTAGGTGAAATCGGTAGTATAGGCTTCGGTCTCGAGCGGGGTAGTTAGAGTCGTCGTTCTTTTCGTGCTGCGCGGAGCCGCCGTCGTCGTCGTCGTCGTCGTCGTCGTCGTGCTGTCGACCTTGCTCGATCGCCTAGAGCCGCGCTTTGCAGCGTAGCCTCGCGTTACGGTTCCAACTAGGAGAAGGAAAAGAATGCGACGGAGATTCATGGCTGAAGTGTTCGCTGCGGCTCGGGTATACGTATATGTCAACCGTCGATCGGCTGCGCTCGGTACTCGGACGATAGGCGACTGAAACACGCACATGCGCGTGTATATAATATATATACATACACTCGCTCTCTCTCTCTCTCAATCTCTCTCACACACACACACACGCGCGCACGCTAACTGACTACAAATTCTATGTGACGCTAGTGTCAAAATGACACGTTCCGGGTTGTCTAGCCGACAGCATGTCATGACGCCCGCACACCGCGGCGAGGAGACGAAGGTGGAACAATGACCGCATCTCCTCGGGGCAAGAAGATGTGCGGGGGTCATCGCCTCGCCTGTGAGGCGCAGTGGGACCTTCACTTCGCTGCGATCCCAACGCGCTTTTCCCCCTCCCCCTCTCTGTGCGGCGGCGCGGGCCAGCATCCCTGTGTGTGTGTGTGTGTTGTGTGTGTGTGTGTGTGTGTGTGTGTGTGTGTGTGTGTGTGTGTGTGTGTGTGTGTGTGTGTGTGTGTGTGTGTGTGTGTGTGTGTATGTGTGTGTATTTGTGCGTGTGTGTGCGTGTGAGCGCGCGCATGCGTGCGCGTGTGTGCGCGTGCGTACATGATCGGTGATCAACATTCCACAGGCGCGCGTCCTACCGTGCGCCGAGGACAGAGACCGTATATCCGTATATGCGGCAGAGAGTCCTCGGCAGAGAGAAATTCCCTTCGCTAATCTATGGTAAAACAGCCTACGGCAAAGAACTGCAACACGACACACCACAGCAGAAAACGAGTCTACGGCAGAGAACTATCGCAAAAAGCCTACGACAGAGAATTCCCGCAAAGGGTCTACGATAATGGATCTCGTCGATGGTGCTTTGTTTAGAGTCTATATGACACGTGTCGTGCCTGGAAGGAATAGGTTACAGCGACGATTCTGACAATGATTTAGAACTATCCTAACTCGCTATTTTACCTATTGAGGAACATTGATTAGCAGTCAGTGCTGTTACACACGCACGCACACACGCACCGCATGCACGCGTGCGCGCACACATAACGAATGTGAGAGTAGAAAGTGGGACGATGAAAGAAGTGATATCACTAGAGAGAAGGGGAGAGAGAAGAGGAAGAGAGAAAGAAAGGGATGGGGAGCGAGAGAAGCAATAGAGGTAGAAACCTCCGCCTAAATAAAGAGTACGTATACGCTATCTAAATAATTATTAATATCAAGTTTCATTATTCTGGTGATGATTAAGATGTTTCGGTGAGGGAGAGGATACATGGACTCCCTCCCCGCCCCCTCCCCTCCCCAGCGCGCTCAGCAACCTAAGTGCCCTCTTCAGCATGCTGCGATTCCAAGCTTTTGGCCAGGTATTGGTATTGGTAGAACTCGTGCGTCAATTATAAGTCATGCTACCCTACAATGTGCAAACATTGAAATATTTTGAAACCTACGACACGTCATGATCTGCTGTCAAAGTGAGCTTTCCTTAGACGGAGCGTATAGTTGTTATCTTTCTGACGTGTTTTATCATACATAAGACCTCCTGCTAAGAACGTATAATGGGGTCAGCGTGTGTGTGTGTGTGTGTGTGTGTGTGTGTGTGTGTGCGTGCGTGCGTGTCGTGTGTGTGTGTGTGTGTGTGAGTGCGTGCGTGCGTGCGTGTGTGTGCGTGCGTGCGTGCATGTGTGCGTGCGTGCGTGCGTGCGTGCGTGCGTGCGTGCGTGCGTGACTGTGTCTACGGTCTGCGGTCTTTCCACCCTGCAAATGCCACCGAGAGTCTGCATTGAAATGTGCCAATACACTCGCTGCAAACAGGATGCGTGGCCTTCATGTTTTGTGTGCTCTGAATGCAGTCAACATTACAGACGAAATTTATCAATCTTGAGATAGCCCAAATTACAAGAATAGTCGCTATATATCTCACTTACATCACTCTATAACCTTTACATACATACAAATGACTAAATATAAAAGAGAATGAGTAGGCCTACCATACAAAGCCGCGTGAAAAAAAATGATCAGGAAAAGAATTAACCAACATTCACTTAATTCTGATATCCCTTGCATCTCATGTAAAACTGTTGCGATTGCAGGAGCATTATTATAAGCCATTATGGACATTAGTCGGTGCTGGCATCGTGAACTACAACAAGTCTGCTCAAGCTATGACGGCCGTTCTCCCGAAGCGTGCGACCTGGGTCAAGGACAAGGTCGCTGAGTTCAACCCGAAAAACAACACTGTGACTACTGAAGGTGGAAAGTAGGTACGATGTGTATTTTACATATTTACCCTTCTTCAGAATTTCGGTAGTTGCAGGTTTAGTGTTGATATAAATAATACTATTCAGTTGCAATCAAGGCTATATCAATTATATTTACACTATATGCATGATTTGCGGTAAGAGAGCTGATAGATTGGGATTTTATTATGAGCTAGTATTGCTGATTTGCGTTTAAATACAAAGCACCTTATGATCAATGAAGCAATCTTGCTATCTTGAAGTTGGCGGGGGGCTGACATGAGTGCCTCGGGCTTCATGGAAGTTCCAGCAGACGGACTTTTCCGTTTTCTTTTCACGGAAGACCAACCATCGTTAACAACATCGCCATGCAGGCTGAACGTTGGAACAGATAACGCTGACAGTTATGATGCTATATGGCGATAGGGTGCGATTCTGTGCAAAGCAATAACGAGAGCGTTGTCAAGTTCTGTCTAATTGAGCAATCTGCCACATCTAACGACGGACATGAAAATCTAATAAACTGAGAAATTACAAAATGGCCAAACTTTAAACCTCGTTGTCCTGATTGCCGGCGACAAGAAATGACACCGATTCCTGCTCAAAGATATTAGCAGCCCGGTCACTATCCGGTCTTCTTCGTCTCGGGTCACTACACTGCACTCGACCTAGCCACTGCAGCACACCTAGCAGGACCTAGCACGGTGGTTGAAAACCTCAAGGTCTCCAGGTCTACAGGGCTCTGGTAATCGGGGGCATTCTATGAGATGTCGCTACTATCCGGTGATAACCAATAGTCAAATAGTCAATAGTCAATAACCAATAGTTATAACCAATAACCAAGTTATTTTGTTATATAACTGCACTTTATTGCTATTGTTAAGCCCATGAAAAAGAGATTCAAGATTATCATGAAAACATTCGCTATTTTACTCGAATTTGTTCCGTTCAATATTAGTTAGTTAAATCCTTCCCGCGCCTTCATACGCATAGCCTATACAGGCGCATAGGCAGTGCTTATCTCCGTTTCTGTAACCCTGAGGCCCCGCAGCTGCTTTCACAGTAAATGCTACAGTAGGGGGTTAGTCCACTGTAGCACTGCGAGTTAACTTGCCACCCTCTATCTCTATTTGCTGAATGCTAAGCAGAGAAGCCGTGTTTTTTTCAAGTCTTTGGTATGACCCGGCCGGGACATACCCGTCGGTTGAACCACTGACCTTCCACATACGAAGCGAGCACTCAACCATTGAGCCATCGCAGTCCGTTCAATATGGATATAGATGGTAAATTCTGCTGACGTTTACAAATCGACATGTAGTCTACTCGCACAACTACGTGCAAAACACGCAATACCGTGTAGATCTAAGAAGATGATTACTTAATTAAGGTTTCCACCATGGTTACAAGATAAAATGTCTGCTTGTCCTCTCTGGCTAAGACCGGGCCCGGACCATATATAATTGATTATTTTACAATATAGGCATATAATAGATATATACCATTATGATGCTATATATTTACAATAATTATAGTTCTGGCTGCACATAATATAATTGCGATATCTGACAACGTATGTTTATGGAGAACAATGCAGATGCATCTTATGATTGGAAGGTGTCGCATAAAGGAACATATGGAATACAAACTGGACGCACAAAATGAAATGTCAGTAACATATGTAGAATACTGCTTACACAAAATTTCGGATAGATTTTTATGATATTAATTTCATCTATATGCAATTTCCTGCAGATTAAATACGAGTACCTGATCATTGCTACAGGCATCCAGTTAAACTACGATCGGGCACGTAATATTTTTTTTACGATTTAACACTTTCAGGCGATTTAAGAGTTTATCTGCTTTTACATATCTACATAAGGATATATTTATAAGATTCCAACTTTTATAGACAGCTCATAATAGGAAACCCTCACATATTGTATAAGAATTGTCATAACTACGATTAGTTACACCTGTCTTCATAAGCAAAAATCGTCTTTAATATGGCATTAATCATTTGCGTGTATAAAAACTATGCCATTAGATCAAAGGTCTCCCTAAAGCATTCGAAACACCTGGAGTCGGGTCGAACTATTGTAGATGGTAATTGACGAAGACGGCTGAGGCAATTAGAAGATTCAAGGGTGGAGATGCTTTCTTCACGCTTCCAAGCACCACCTTCAAGTGCGGCGGAGCTCCTCAGAAGATCATTTATCTGGCGGACGCCCACTGGACAAACGTATCTTCTCCGGTTCGGTTTCTATTCATTAATTCTTAATATTACATCTAATGAGAGGGTGGCGATCTTCCAGCTTGTCGAGTCTTCGTAAATATGGCCCTGCTGTGCAGACATGTTGGCAGCACTGATGCGGTGGTATTGCCGATGTACCATATTGAATCACACAGTGAGATGGGCGGAAGTAGTCACGATGATGCACGGTCCACAGGCACTTGGAATGTCTCAATACAAAAAAAAGGTAAATAAACACTAAATGTATTAACTATCAAAGTCTTAATGTTTCTCTACTCTATTTCGCCTATAATCACCTGTAAATGCCGGTCAAATGCTAATCTTCAACACACAAGTACACCGCACGCAAGCTGCTGCACACTGACACATAAATATATAGTGTGTGTCAGTATATGTGTGTCTATATATTTATGTGTCAGTGTGCAGCAGCTAGCGTGTGGTGTACTTGTGTGTTGCAAATGAGCATTTGGACGGCATTTACAGGGAATTGTCGGCAATAATAGGTGAAAGAGAGTAGAGAAACATTAAGACTTTGGTAGTAAATAGATTTCGTATTTATTTAGCATTATATTTTATTGAAACGCTCCAAGTGCTTGTGGCACGGTCGATCATTCACGTATTTGTATCAGATTTATATCGAAGATAGTCGCCCCTCGCTTGGTTAAATATTTTGCTTGATGTTAAGAAGAC